GAAAATCTGGTGGTTTAACATTACAGTCCCATTGAGTGTTGATGTGAGGGGTGAGGGTAGCCACAATCCGCAATGTAGAGGGCTTAGGTCCTGGATATGACTTTAGTTATATTTTATTTTTTGTATGGTCCAAATGGATCAAGCCAAATGCGTATAGAGACATTCAAAATCCTAAAAGCATTAATCCAAAAAGAGTAGTTTTTGAACCACTTCTGAAAAGAAATTTGTCCACAGCAAAAATCATTACAAGACAAAATCAACTCAAAAAACACTTGCGAAACTTGATAAACAAAATCACATATCCAGCATTGCATTAGGCTGCACAAATGATTCCAGCCTCTGCCTTCTCATTTCTTCATAAAATTTTTGAATAAACTTCTCTGCCCTCTCGTCAACTGAGTCATCTTCGCTGCATGAATCTGGTATTAAGGACAGTTTTCTTGCCACTGAATCTCTATGACAAGGCAATGTCTCTATTTCTATTCCCAAAGGGTACCTTCCCTCTTCTCCTGCAGCTGTCAGCATTCCCAAACACTTAGAAATGAAGATAATTGAGGAAAAGTTCTTCAAGATTTTTGGCTTTTTCGACTTTCTGTGAAACTGAATTAGAGGGGTGTCTGAAGGAGAGAACTCATATTCCTTCATGTACCTATAATTGTAGTGCTTTGGGAGCTTGAATTTTCTTGTCTTCTTGAGAGAAATGAATGTTGGAATAATGGGTTTTCTCATTTTGGCCAAGAAAATGGAGATTTTCAGGAGAAAGGGTGACCTTTTCTTGGGCATTTTTTCGGGTTTGAGAAAGTTTGCTCTGGGATTTTGTGCTTCAGTTTGTTCTTGGATTGAGTGTAGCGCATTTTATTGGTACCAAAAGGTGCATGAAGTTTGCAAGAATCTGAGGAGTGGATCCTCTAGGCTGTAAAAAGGCTCAAAGGTTCGGTGCGCACTTTTGTTCTTGGACTTTTTTATTGGGATCAACAAGTAGCCGTTAAAGTGCAGCTTACCCCCTTTCAAATGCCTGTCGGATTATTAATTGTAAAAAAACTCCCATACGTTTCTCTGCTACTTATGGCCCCTTAGAAAACTCAGTTAATAAAAGAATAATGCTTAATAGCTGCCTGCAAGAGAAATTTCAAATCTACCCAAGCATATATTTCATTTTATTTGAATCCAATTACTTATAAGTTACAGAAATTCCAAATTAAATGGAAATATAAATTAGGTTATCTTAGTTTTATCAAGTTGAGACTTCTCAATAAAAACGTTGACCAAAGTCTTCGTATGTGATGAGCTAAAGAAGTAAAAGCTAATAGACTAAACTCAATTTGATCGAGAATCCACCACTAATATTAAGCTCTAACGTCCACATGAGGTACAAAGTCAATATGTCGAAAGGTAGCAAGCTAAATAGAAACACCAGTTCAACCCAAAATATTGCTTGACACCAACGTACGTTTGAGCTAAGACAAGACATTAATGTGTTTGCCAGGAAATTCATATTGCCTCGAAATAACTAGATTTTCAATTTCAAATTTATAGGTGACATATTTACCTCAAAATCTAGATGATTCGTTGTCAACATATTATTGCCACCTTTTCTTCCACAAGTATGTTATATCACACTTGGATGCGCTGTTAAAGTCACATACCATTATTTCTAGGAAAAATGGTAACTGACCATTTGTTCTCTGACGTACAAGTTAACTACCAAAAAATAATAATACAAAAAAAATTGAGCGTGGGAGAGAAACAACTAGAGTTGTAGGGAAATTCATCTCCATGGCTATTTGTCAAGGAAGAATTTGTTGGAACTAGGATTAGATGTTGCAATCTTAATCTGCACCTGTCACGCGCTCATTGGTTGGAGAAGATAGGATTGTATTATATTGTTTCCTTCTTGAGTCGATTACCTTGTAGAAAGTAGCAACTGATTCCTTACAAAATACTTCAAACCTAGAACAGCGAGGACCTCAACAAATGTTACATAAACTTTAAACCAAAGAAGTTTAATCCACTCGTTCTTTAATACAACTCCAAAAGCACCAAGGAAATCCAAGATCGAAGGGCTAAAACTCAAATTATACCCTTCTGTTTGGATATCAAAACTCTAACCCAAATGCTGAAGCAATCCTTTATTGATTAAAGGGAGTCACGAAGAATCGAGTCATCTCTCTCAAGTACAACACACAATGTTTAGATTTCACAGGAGAATCAACTTCCAACCAGGGGTTCGGAAGAAGAACACGGAGAGAAAACACGGAAAATTCTGGAAGCTAACACCAAAAGGCATAAATCATATTATGACTGCGATTGAGGGTGTTAGTATACCTTTATCTCTAGACATTGATCTAAATCATGATCCAACGGTCCAGGGCTTTTCAGAAACTTAAAGGCAAAAGTGTTGTGTTGCTTCTAAAGGTGCATTTCTTAAAAGAGAAATTATATAAACTCAGGGGTTTCAATATTGCTTTTTAAAATTCAGGTTTAATATTTATTTGTTCAAAAATCACGTAACATATAAAAGCCCTAATTCACAACCCTAATTCACTAATTCTCCACTCTATTTCTCTCGTCTCACTCGCGGCGCACTCTCTCTCTCACTCCTTGAAGCGGCGCTGTAGTGGCCGGCCGGACGAAGGTGTTGCATAGGCCTGCGATGCTTCAGCATTGAGGCTGTTGAGACGGCAATCGCTCATCAGCCATCAGTCGCGACGACAATCGCCCATCAGTTGTGACGGTAATTGCCGGCAATCGCTCTATCACTCATCAGTCTCTCTCTCTATCACTCATCAATTGCGACGGCAATTGCTCCGGCTTTTTGGTTTTTTTTTTTATTTTTTTTTTTTTTATGGTTGTGAATTTCAGATTGTAGATGGTGTTGGTGGTGTGGCGATAAGGTGGCGGTTGGGTGTGTGCGTACTGTGGGTGTGTGTGCAATGGAGTTGTGGTGGTGGTGTTGCGTCGAGGTGTGGTGGTGGTGTTGATGCTGGTTGTGGTAGCGGTGCTGGATTTTTGATTATTTTTTTTTTGTTTATGTTTGTAACTTTTAGATTGGAGACGGTGTTGGTGGTGTGGCGGTAAGGTGGCGGTTGGGTGATGGTTGTTGTGAAGTTGGCTGCGAGTGGTGGTGGTGTTTTGTGTGGCGATGATTCTGTGGTTGTAATTGTGGTATCGGATCTGGTGGTTTTTGGTGGTGGTAATGTTGGTCGTGGTGGTTGTCGTGAGGCGGTGGTGGTGGTAGTGGTAGTGGCGATAGTGCAGAGGTGGTGGTGGTGGATCTGATGATTTTGATTTTCTGTGATCAAAAATATAATCTGTAACCTTAAAATTAGGTAATTCGTAACTGAAAATATTATCCGTGACCAACCATTTGTTATCTGTGACCTAAAAATTATATAATCTGTGATCATAAAAAATCTGTGACCAACTAATTTGGAAATATGTGACCGTATGACCTATA